ACGTCCGTCATCATGGCTCGAAGTTCAACTTCTGGGTCGAAGTCCTCTTCTATAGTCTCGGGAGTGGCGTCAGGAATGGTTTCGTGTGCGAAGTCTGGATCGGGAATTTCTTCTATCGTGGCGTGCAGGGGTTCTGGTTTAGTGGTACGGATAGCGGGTTCAGCTTGTTGGAGCTGGGCTTGCGTCGGTGGGTCGGGGAATCGGAAGATGCTTTTCTTCCAGTCGATACGTGGGTTCTCCCTCTTCAACCAGTTGTAACCAAGGATTAAGTCCTGCTTGCCGATGCTGGCGACATATGCGGTGGTTACGCGCATGGTGTCGTTCCATCGGTAGCGTAGGAAGACTTTCTCTTCGATGGTTTTGACTTGGTTAGGGGTCCCGTCTACGTTGAAAACGGGGATTGGTCGTCGTAGTCGTTTGGTTCCTAGTCGTAGTCGGATGACTAGGCGGGGTGTATGAATACTGCCATGGCTCCACTGTCCACAAGAGCATTCACTTCGGTGTCGGCGTCTTTTCCTCTCACGAATACGGGTAGGTGCAAAGATTCTGATTCTTCTATGCCGTATTGTACATGTGAGACGGTAAAGTTCGTGGGTTCGCACTGCGCTGAGTCGTGGAACCCTCCTAAAAATCCGCTCCAAGCTGCTCGAAGATGGATTGCTTCTCCTCGGCCTTCAGTTCTGCGAAGAGCTCGCGGATCGTCTTTGATCGCGGGCCGGGGGAGGTGCGGTGTATTGTGCGGGACGATAAGCAGCCGGCTGTGGTACCTTGCCATTGCGATGGTCAATGGAGCGGTGACCCTTCTGGTGACACACGAAGCAGAGGCCTTCCTTCATGTGTCGGTCTCGGTCCGCCTGGGACATGCGGTTGGACGTGGTAGCGTCGATGTCCATAGGCTCGTCGAGTCGACCACTAGTCCTGGGTGCTTGTCCGCCATGGGGTCGATCGACGTACTCGCCATAGGAGGCGTGTTTCTGGGCGACGTCATACCAGTCCGACATCTTCTCCATCGTCCTGTCTGTTCCAAGCATCTTTCGAAGAAGCTCGGGTCGAACCGCGCGGCGGAAACGGTTGGAGAGCAGGTTGTAGTCGTTGGCAACCCTGGTAGCTCCTGTTCCGGTAGCGTCCCGGAATTTGGCTCGTGCCGCAGCCGTTTTGAATTTATGCACAAACTCGTGTGTCGACATCTTTCCTTGAGTGAGATTGTCGAAATCGGTGATGGCCTTGTCGAGGTGCTCGTAAATGGGGAATGACGATGTGAGAGCGGTGACAAAGTCCTCCAGGTCGGGTACATGACCTGGTTGCTTGCGCGCTTCTCATTCTGTTCCTCGTAGAACAGAGTACGCCATCCTTTGGCCTTTCCGTCGAGTTTGGAGACCGCGTAAGCGATCTTTCGTTGGTCGTCAGTGTTTGTGTTCTTCGTGGCCGCGAAGTAGTTCTCGAGGTCGTTGAGGAAGCGAGTTAAGTCCAGAGGATCGCCTTTGAAGGCTTCCGGACTAGTGACCTCAAGCTTATCTCCTCGTTCTACACTTCGAGCCTTCAGCTCCAGTAACTCCTGCTTCAGAGCCTGGAATTCTGCAGAGGAAACGGACATCGGTGGTTCGGGTGATGGGAAACGATAGGGAAAGGTGTCGGGTTCGGTTCTGGTTTCTTCGTCGACAGGAGTCAACGATATGGGTTCGATCGGTGCGGGAGTTCGTTCCGGACGTTTCTCAAGCGTACGGGTAGAAGTCGATGGTTCAAGTTCGAGGGACGGGGTTCGGGAGAGGGATCGTTTCAACCCAGCGATATGGGCTTTCGCTTTCGCGAATCGTGGTTGTTTCAAAAAGAACTGGGTAGTTCTCTTTTCGTCGTCGACGTTGGAACGGAAGTTCGTCCAAACGTATGTCTGGTGTTTGTTCGAGAATTCGGCGTGGACGGGTTCGGTACGTCCTTTCGCGGTGATATCAAATCGGAGGAGTTCGTCGTCCCAGAAAAGGGTTTCTTCTGCGCCTAGGCCTGGTAGGTTGAGTCGGCCAGGGTCGAGGATCGGATGGCGCGTGATGGTGGTTTCGGCGGACTCGAGGATTCGAGCCCGTTCGGGAGGTTGGGTTCTCTACACCTGAGAAGGTGGAGATGGAAGAAGAGTTCGACCTTATGTTACGCGAAGCTAGGCGAGTGGAACACTACAAGCCACAAGCTTGCAAGGTTACTAACTTCAAGGAAGAGTTCTGTATCTTAGACCTAGGAAGGACGCAAGTCCCTTCGTCCTAGTCGAGTTCCGAAGCGGTAGCGGTATGAGAAAGCTAGCGTCGATTGCTAACCAGGTCGAACTGAAGAGTCCGACCTCTACTGTACAGGTATATATACAAACGAATGAGTCTGAGTCAAGGCGTACAGTAAGCATGAGTCAAGATATGTCATCGCTGACGAAGGAATCGGTAATCATGACGAAGAAAAGAGTCAGCAGGGTTCAGCTATCACATGATAGTCCGGGTGCGGTATGGTACATAACCGGTCCTCATGCACGTGAGGTGGTTAGAGATAACAAGTAAAAGAAAATGAAAATGTACGTAGTATGGCGACTTGTAACAAATATCCTTCTTATCATTGGCCACAAAATCTGTTAATAAGATTTGAAATCCTGTTCTATGATCATTGTTTACTATCTTTCTTCAATACTTCAAGGCCATAAGATTCAAAACCAAATCACTATCATTCTCAACAGAAAGTTCAAGCAAGGATTGACAATCAGGACTTCAAGTTCTGGTTTTGTATCTTTCTGTAATCATTAGAGTCAAATTGATTGCTAGTATGTCTCATATACTTATTGAATCATTGAGGTGTTGAACTTCCGACTTTCCAGTGTTATCTTATCTTATCAGTTATGTACATATATGGACTTGTGTTCTGCGATGTAGTATTACATACATTCTTTTGATGGACTCTGTCTGGACTCATCTTGTGACTCGCTCCAGACCGATCTACACTGTTCCAGACTTATTCTGGATCATTCCACTCCCTTCCGGCATGTTCCATGACCTTCCAGTACATTCCTTGATCACATGGACGCTTATGCATATCCCTATCTCTGGAGTTAAGGCTTACTCATTTCCCTAAAACTCGGACTTAGTGATTACTGATCTGCTTACTGATGTAGCATGTGATCAGTCCCAGACATGTATATATACTGGGGTAATTCTCCCCTAATGGATAACGATCTCTCCTCTCTTCTGCCTGCCTAGCATCAGAGTCTTCCCTCTGGGATAGGTCTGTTCACTCCACTCTACTGTCCTTCACTTCCACTGGCCTAACAAGCTCTTCTAAACCTCTTTCACTTCAACATGAGGCAGAAAGACACATGTATGACAGCAATCAAATGATTTCAAAGCTCTCATCAATCCTTTTCCAATCTTTTACTAAGAAGGAGAGCAAAGATATTTTCAATCATTTTGAAGATCATTCTCAGATGAAATACACAAAAATTGTTTGGCCTCTTGTTTACAATCTTTCACATGAAAATATCGCAATTTTCGTCCAGTGTCGTGCTTTCCAAACATGGCAAACTGGTTGAACGTGCGGCGCTGCATCAAGCAACCCACTGTCTGGACTCTGCATGTCTGCCCACCTCTGTCCATTTGTTGTATTTGCATTGTTCAGCACAGGTGAGCTTGGCTACGCACACCGCGTGCCTTTTGACTAACAAAAGCGGCGGAATCTGTGCCCACCCACTAACAATCGGCCCGCCTTAGAAATAGTACATGCCCATCACACTCCCCGGGCCATCACTATCCATTCCAGTATTCAGTACTTCAGTATCCATCGGCAGTAAGTACGTATTACGAGAATGACTGGGACGGCCCGAGGAACTTTGGGGAACACCAAGTGAGCTGCAGCCGTCACATCCATCTAACATCCATCTGCGCGTCTTGCTGGGACTCACTGCGGCCATAACTTTCATGTCCCGATTCACATTCATAGCCTGGTCTCTGCAACGTAACTGCGGCGTGTTCCGTCGTGAGCGCGGCTTGCCAGACGAGGCGGCGTTACAGAATGCTCCAGTACTAGTGCCATGAGATGGGAGGATGATGCCACCAAAGCACGCCGTACCGTGACGGCAGAACTTCCCTCGTAGCCTGCGAGTCTGCGCCGATGGTCGGCTGTAAGGAGAAACGGCCCTTTGTGTGTTACGACGTTCCTAATCAGCTTCACCATGCTTGTAAGTCCCCGCTTGCATCCCATCTGAACTGTGCACACGCAGTGATACCTGACTTGTAACTGACACGTCTCTCTTCAGCAGCACTACTCGCTCGAGCGTGATATTTCCTGCGGTAGCAAAGAACGGCTGTGTACGAGGTTTCTCTGGCTGAATGACTCACCTTGCCTCCACCCGCTGTGGTGTATCGCAGGGTGTCCTTGCGCATGGTGGGTTGTATTCTCCATTGTGGAACGACTTAGACTTGGCATTCTTGACGACAGAAATCGTCCATAGCAGTGCCGGCCGGATGGTGCGTACACATCCACGTATTTTGCCTCGCTGCCATTCTTTGGAAGGCAATCGTCGAAGGTACTTACAGAGTCTGAATCCAACCCCGTCCATTGTCGGGCTTAATCGGCTAGTCGACGCGATGGTCTGGTTTCAAGGTGTCATGCACAATGTCGTGATAATTGTCTTTCCTTCTGAATCGCCGCTCGAACCAACCAGGATGCACCCCGATAGACAAGCGACTGTCTTGGGCTCCCGCAGGCCTCAGGCTCCGGCCTCGAATCAATCGCGCGCGTCGCCCAACGCTCTGGCATAAATATCGGCTGCTGCCGAGCGCTAACGTGACATGAGTCGTAAGGAAGAAGTTAGAACGACCACAAGGAAGATTGCGAATATCGCATTGATCACAGGGTTGGTCTTGCGTGGCGCATCCTTGTTTGTGTGGGGTTTGTGTGGGGGCCCCAGTTCTCAAGTTGACTCACGACCGCCACGACTTCCACGACGGTCATTACGAGACGCACTGGCAGCTTCCGGCATGGACGACCAGACTCGGACGCTCGAGCCTGTGGCGAAGGAAAGGGTTGTGCAGGTAAAGCTAGATATAGAACATGCGGAGGTGAAGGATGACCCACGGAAGTGGTCAAAGAGCCGTAAAGTGAGTGTAATCCACTTCATCGCATGTAACAAGCGCTTTTACCTTCGTCCGGGCAGTACATCTTGGTTGCTATGATATCGGCGGCATGCATGATCAATGGATTGGGCGCGAGCATATACAATCGTATGTGTTTGACAAGGCTTCTGTAACCGGTGGTTAACTCGTCTGTTTTTTCGCCAGCCGCAATCGTACAGATAGAGTCTGACCTGCACGCGACCGCCACCCAATTTAGTTTGACCCTTTCCCTGTTCGTGATTATTCAGGGAGGATTCCCCATACTATGGAGCTCAATCAGTGAGATTCATGGGCGAAAGGTAGGTCTGACTGTTCGCCGTAAGCAAGTGTCTCATACCTGTCTAGGTTGTATACCTAGCGTCTATCACCCTATGCATGGTGGGATGCATCGTAGCAGCCACGTCAAAGACAATCGATGTACTCATCGGCATGCGTTGTCTCCAGGCTGCCGGGTAAGCACATCGATCTATGTAGCAACACGCGTCAGTCTAATGCAACCTTGCCATTCATGCAGATCCAGTGCCGTTTTGAACATCGGAGCCGCGACGTTAGCCGATCTTTACGAGCCTGCTGAGCGCGGCACGATGATGGGAATATACTTGTGGTGTGTACCGATTGGCTCTTCGTGGGCCGTATACCGTCGTCACTGGACATAATGTGCTGCAGCGCCCCTTTGCTCGGGCCCTCCCTCGGTCCGATCCTAGGGGGTGTGCTGACCCAGGCGTTCAACTGGCGCGCAACGTTTTGGTTCCTCGCCATTTTCACCGGCTTGTGTGTTCTCTCCTTTGCCTTCTTCCGGGATACTTTTCGGAAAGAACGCAGTCTTGCGTACCAGAACGTGCTCAAGCGCGTTCTCGAGCAAGAAGCAAAGAAGACGACGAGGGATGCTGGGAAGCAAGTTGTCTCCGAGAAGGACACAAGCGATGCGCGCATCACGGTTGTACCAACTGATAATAATAGCTCCAATGAAACGGAGGCTGATGCAAAACTCGGCGAGGATGGTGTTGGTCGAGACGTTGAGGGACAGAGCACATTGCCTGCCTCCGAAATACCAGCAGCTGTCAAAGAGGCCCGACTCTCCTTGAAAGATGTCAACCCGATTGGCCCGATGATCCGTATTTTTCAACGGCGGAACAATGTCGTCCTCTTCATTGCCTCAGGTGAGCTATCTGTCTAGACATGTCCTCGACCCCCGTTGAAATGTCCATTGACACTGCAGCCTTCATCTTTGCCTTCAACATCACCATCACATATACCGCATCGCGGACCTTGGCCAGTCAGTATCACTATGATGCACTCGATATTGGATTCGTCCTGTTGGCATATGGAATGGGTACGTTCCATTAACGCGATCTCGGGGTCATGGCTAAGCTGCCTAAGGCTGCCTGTTTGGTAGCGTGCTCGGGGGTCGGTATTCGGACCATGTCTTCACCAAGCTAAGGGCCAAACACGAAGGGAAGAGTCAACCGGAGGCACGCGCTCTGTACAGTGTCCACACCCGATGGGCGGTCCATGCTTATTTCATTGCCTCTTCTGTAGATGCGTCTCCGGAGTACCATGGTGCCTATGCTGTTCTTCCCACCTTCCGTCATAGCATATGGCTGGGTGTGCGAAAAACATGTCCATATATCAGCCGTCTGTGTGATGCTGTTTCTCGCAGGCTTCTTCCAAATGTATTTCGCACTCTTGATCCTTGGAACGCGGAGTGACTCAGTTATCCTTTGGCCTTTAGATCCATCTACACGAGTATGCTGGCCTACGTTGTAGATTCCAATGTCGGCCGCTCTTCGGCCGCTGTAGCCTGCAACAGTCTCTTCCGTGGGACGTTAGCCTTCGTTGCTACCGAGGTTGCCGTTCCACTGCAGGTGCGTATCTCGGTCCTCGTGCAAGCCAACTCGAGGCCGAGGCGATTTGCACGATGCTGATTTTTCATGCGTAGGACTCCATAGGTGACGGCGGGCTGTACTCACTGTGGGGCGGCCTGACCTTCCTCTGCGAGTTGCTGATCCTCCTCGTATGGTGGAAAGGAGGGCGATGGCGGGAGAGGGCGATATAAAAAGAGGCTCGCAAAACTGGGCGCAACGACCATGCGTAGATGTGTAGACCACCGACAGCCTTTCCTCCCTCGTAAGTAGGTAATTCTGGGTGCTCCCTGCACAGTAAACGTACCGACGGGACTCAACTGGACTGCAAACGAAGCCTTGTAGATATGTTCTGCCGTCTTCCATGATAGAAGCCCCATCCTTTCTCGTTCGGAATGCCAGATATATAGTGCGCTGCGGGAGATGGGACATGAGACCGCTATGTAATGTACTGCAAATATGCACTGGCAAGAGTCGCGTTTCTGAGATCATCGATCACGCGCCACTCGCGTCTACCGACGGTCACTACCGTGTTGCCTCCGAGTGCGTACCACAAAGTAGTTGGGTGACGGATTCTCTCCTCCTGCTTCTGAATCTCTCTCTTCCTCGGAACAGGCACAAGCACAGCACAGGCACAAACCGAACACGCAACCCCTTCGCAGACCACACGAACAAACATTGACTGGCCGTCATCACTTGGCACCTCGCAAAGCAGCCATGGAGAGTACGATTGCGGCCCTTACGAAGTATCAGGTGAAGAATTTCTTTTCAGCAAGCAATCGTCCCACGCAAGACCAATGCGACCGGTACGCTGCAAAGGCGACGGGCGAGCAGCCCATGGCCACGCCTGTCCAGGGCGGCAGCAGCTACACTGTCGTCGGAGCAGAATTCGTCGTACAGTTCCGGGCCGAGAATGCCCCCCTCGACCTGGAGTTCCTCCGTCATGTCGAGAGGGCCTACGCGGGCTTCGTGCCCTGGCACACAGACTCGGGCAAACTGGGGAACCTCCACGTCTACATGATGCGAAACGTGGGAGGCGTCTCCATGTACCTGGCCCGGGACAGTCTATACGCTAACAATTGCTACCTCTTACGCCAAACACTGCTTGACTTCGCTCGGTGAGTCTGTCTGTCACTCCGACAGAATGCATATCGAGAAGGAACTCCAACTGACACACGCCAACCCAGTTTCTTCGCCTCGGCATGGCATAACACACCTATGGCGATGCCAGTGCCAGACCGCAAATGGCTGTACTCAGAGTATTTGTCCGACCTGAAGCAGCTCTCGACGGGACTGCCGAAGCGCTTCTGTCCGGTGCTCAACGGGCTCATCGAACGCCTCCCGTACCTCTTAGCCCTCGACTGGCCTCTTGTGGCCAACCACATCGACCTGCTAGAGAACAACATCCACGCGGACACCCAGACGGGCACCTTGGCGGGCGTTGTCGACTGGGCGGGCGCACAAGTCGGCTCGTTTGGCATATCGCTCGGCGGCGTCGAGAACATCCTGGGGATCGCCAAGACAGACTTCTCCCACGAGTACCACGCCAACCACCACGAGCTCCGAGAACTGTTCTACAAGGAGCTGTACCTAGTCATTTGGGGAGGTCCCGCGTCTGCCGAGAACAGGCAGCGCCTCGAAGACGCCAGACTGATCGGCCTCTGTTTCCTGAATGGCTGGCGGTACGAGGGCGGGACGCGGGCCCCTGCCCGGGAGGGGGATGCGAGCTTGTGCCATCTTCACTGTGTTCTCGAGGCCACCTGTGACGGGTACTGAGGGAGGAGCAAGGGCCGCGGAGGTGCGTTGGAATAAGACATGGCGCTGAATACTACCTTTCCTCACCTTGCGCCTGTATCCGCTTACAGCCCCGTCGAATCAGGAAATGTTGCTCGCGGCCCATCCTTCACGGCACGACGTACGGTTTGCCGTCGTCCGGGATCGTGCCGTGCTTCTTGATGTACGCCACGAGGTTATCCTGGTACGTCTGCTCGTTGTCGTTCTTTAGGCGGCGCCCGACGAAGTAGGGATCGTGGCTCTTGTCGCGGAGCAACTCTGTCGACGAGCTCTTGGAGCATCTACTCGCGCGAGAAGAGCGACGCGTTCGCGGGCGTGTGCGCGACGTACATGCCCTGCGCGTAGTTCGAGGCACAGATCGCGATGGGGATGGGCAGCCCGAGGGATGCGAGTGCGAATGATACTGACCCTCATTACATTACACTGTGTGCTTTCTTATCAGACCCGCAGATCATAACACACAATGGTAACAATGCGGCTATATGAGGAGCGATTCTTCTGGTTCTCGCTCGGGACTGGTGAGATGGGGTCTACAAACCGTCCTAAATCGCCGAAAACACGGCCTCCAAGTATGCCTTCAACCCGTCCACTCCGAACACAATCGCACCGACCACGCCGTCAGGTCGAATGGCGACTATTGTGGGGCGATCCGGAGACACGCCATACGCGCTGAATGCGTGACCCTCCTTGTCTACAACAGTAATGTCAGCGCTGGCTTCTGGGGAGGCTTGGGCCGTGTCTCGAGGATAAGCCATTACGGTCTTCAGGCTGCCAGCAGGGTAGCGCCTCAGCTCCTCGAGGACGGGCTGCATGGCACTGGAGTCGGAGGTGAAGAGGAGCACAGTGTGATACACTGGACGGAAGATGCGGAAGAGGGATAGTGACTCCTGCTTGTCTCCAGACATGGAGACCAATCCCGGGGCATCCGGAGCACGATCGCCCGCGCGCAGGTCACCGCCCGTCTCACCGCCGTAGACGTTGGCGGGCTCCTTGGGCTTCTCCGGGGCACGCCCGTCCACGACAATGGAGCTCCAGCGATAGTTGACGCCGAGCTGTTTGAGCTGCCTGTCGCGCTTCCACGCTGCGTCGTCGGTGTCGTCAGGCGTGGAGGTCTCGAGCGCATTCAGGAGCGTAGTGCTCTGTTCCAACATGGCGGCGATCACCGGGAGGCGCTCTTCGGTGTAGGTATTGAGGAGATCCGGGGACGCCCAACCCTTCTCGACGAGTGCGAGTTTCCAGGCAAGGTTGAACTGTCATCTCATGAAATACGAGGAACTTGTACAGTATGAGGTATAGCTCACCGAGTCTTGCACGCTGGAATTCAACCCCTGGCCTCCGGTCGGACTGTGCACATGAGCTGCGTCTGGATGGATTGTTAGGTCAATCATGACGGGGAAGATTTGTAGCGGAGGACGCACCTCCGGCAATGAACCCCCGACCTTCCTGGAACTTGTTCGCCATACGGATATTCGCGCTTTCGTCAAGCAACGTCAGTGAACAGTGTGCCGTCCGTCTCGCGGGTACGCACCGAGCGTCTGCCATCCACTGGAGCTGTCCAAACTGCAGGTCCTGCCTGTCTGTGGCGGCGCGAATCGTCTTCAAGATTTCTTCCCTGCCCGATGCGAGCCTCTCGTGGTCAATCTGGCCACTGAGCACAACATAGAACGAGTTCGGATTCTCCGTCGGGAGTATCATGCAGCTGCAAAGGACGATACACGTGAGGCCTCACGAGTTGTCATCGCGGAACGTACAATAATGTAGACATATTGCCCCACAGATGCCAATACTGGACGTGTCGACGTTAGGAAACGTCAGTCACGGTGAATGAATGGCCACAGCTGGGACGTACGTCACGGTCCAAACCAAATATCTCGATTTCGCTCACCAGGTTATGTCGAGCGCGGGTTTCTCCCTGGAAAGTGAGGCCGAGCTTCTTTCGAGTAACTCCTGTACGACGTCAATATAGTATCGATGCCAGTGCTCGTCTGGCTGCACACGAGTTCGGTGACTGACCTCTGCCGCCATCAGTTCCGACGAGGAAGTGACAAGTGACGGTTTCCGTCTTCTCAATCTCACCGTCTTTCTTGACGATGTGTGCGACGACGTGGTCTGTGTGCTGCTCGAAGTCACGCAATGCGGTCCCCAGTTCGACAGAGCAGTCGTACTTTGCGAGGTGCGCTCGCAGGATCGCTTCGCTGTTTTCCTGACCCAGATGAACACCGTTTGGCTGTAAACAGCCGGAGGGTGAGCTATCTATACATGTCGCGATCAGAAACACAACGCACAATGGGCGTCGAAGGAGTCGGTTCGTCATATTCTACTATATTGATCGTCTTCAGGGGCTCCACGCCACCGGGCAGCTTGTACACACGGCGCTGCCTCGGCGGGTCGATGGCCTTGGCAAGAATGTCGTCCACAACACCGAGATAGTTGAAGATTTCCAGAGTACGAGGCTGTTAAGAGCGCACATTGCAGTGTATCAGCAAAATCCGGCGCGCAATGAACACGGCTTACTTGTATGCTCATACCGCGCTGGCCAGGGCGGTAGAAAGGCTCCTTGTCAATGATGCGAACTTTCACGCCGTTCTGTATGAGGGCGAGCGCAAGTACCAGGCCTGCAGGGCCCGCACCAGCCTGCAAACATCAGCGATCAGTGATACCAGGGACGGATGACCATGACAGTAGTACAAGATCGCTTACAATAAGGATTGGGACGTCTACGTTCATACCCGTTGTAGCGACCTTGGACTCAGGCTTGTGCATGCCAGTCTCGTGTTGACTCTCCCAGTGTTTCGTTCATGGCTCGGGCCCACCACTTCTTATATGCTCGCCGGGTCTGAGTCCGTGCTCTTCGCCGATCTTGCTTGTCGCCGCTCCTGAGCCGCAACAGACATGCTATACGTACACTATACACCTGGACCCTCGATCCGATGCTACAAGATACTGTCAGATACACCGCAGTAATCAAGGTTCCCTTCCATCGCCGACGAGCGAGAGGAAGGCTGGCCAGTAGTAGTCTTTATGGCCTCGACGCTCTTACTGCGGGGCGTAGAATGGCGTCGCTGCTCTCGGATAGGTTCAGGTAGGCCGATGTGAAGGTTTCTGCGCAGGCGATAGCCTCTCGGACGAAGGGTTCAGTTTGAAACTCGTGAGTCTTCATGGGCTGGATTCGAAGCAGAATTCCCTTCGATGAGAATAAGGCATGCCAAAGGTGGATCAGCTCGTACACGATACGACGGTGGATCGTTGAATTTGCACTCTGTGGCCATTGGCACTCAGTAACCAGTTGCAGCCCGGAACAGAGAAAGTCGTACATACCCAGCATCCTGACATATCCCTGCCCGAGACCCTGCACGCCGCCATGGGTGCCAACGCACCTGGCCTGCGTTTCTCTTTGGTCTTGGTGAAGCTTCCAAGCGCACAGCTGTCACCGATAACAGCATCCCGACCAGAAGTCTAGCCATCGGCGTTTGAACACTATTAACATTTCACCTCATGGCTCGCCGTGTCTTAGTCTTCCTACCTAGTGTAGGCTTTTGCATTTGTTCGATATGCAGGTAATCGGGCTCTTTGCGCGACAGCTCTGGTAACGGTTGTCCAGACGTCTGATCGTTCCTATGTTGGCTCGCAGCGTTGCCTGGCACACGAGAAGGGATCACCGGTATGCTCTACTCAGCATCACCTCATCTTCAGTCCAGCGAGGTTGCCAGGTCGAGCTGAGGCTTCAGCGGACTGCCAATGTAGACGACGCGATGAAATTGGTCCTGTACCCACTAGTTGTACCCGTTTTTTCGAATGGTGTTTATGGGGGCGTCAGGAACTTGTTCTCCGGAGGTTTCAGCGCAGGCTCATGTCATCCATTCCTTCAGCGTCTGATAGTCGTATATAGCGCGTTCCCAGACGCACGGCAACCTTTCAGAAAACTTGAGTACGCAATCTTGTCGTACAGCATAGGCAATACGGACCTCTGCATAAATGGGAGACAGTCTAAAGAACTATCCAGGCTGTCATGAAGGGGGCCAACAGTATAACAACTGGTTGTCCGCGCTCTAGTTTGCCATACAGTACTGTGAGCGCTATAGAGGTCAGCCAGCAAATGACATCGGTGCAAATATTCATCGTACCATCAAGTGTTCTTTTAGTGGCTCAGAGATCCTTTCATACGGACGTAAGGTATGTCTCCCTTGTGGAAGATCTCTCCGAAGCGGGACATCCCTCTCCGCTCGTACCACTCCGCCGTGGCAAGCCGCGCATCGCACCAAATGACATCGCACCCAAGGTCGCTAGCAGCTATCTCGAAGACGTGCTTCAGTAACATTGTGCCAATGTCGCGTCCTTGATGAGACGGCTCGCAGGCAAATTTGCGGAAGCGTGCTGCGACCGCGGTCGAGTAGTTTGGCTTCCTGTGTCACATCGCAAGGCAGCGGTTCTTTGAAGACAGAAATGACGGCGATTGGATGGTCGCCGTGCGGGAGGGAAGCTCCATAGTGAGAACCCTGGTTGTCCTCAGGGAGTAGGACGTGCGACACGGGATGGCTGGGCCACAGTACTGTGTGGCGAAGCGGGACCGTCTCGTCCGGCGATATTTGCTTGATTTTGACATGATCTGTTTGTGAGTAATGTCAACGTGCAAATATACGTGGATAAAATGTGTGCGTTCGAGAGCACAATGGAAACGAACATGCCTCTTTCGTCGGTAGCCAACATCATCGTCACTGTATTTTGCAGTAAAGAATGTATGGTTCTAGAACAAATAGTTGGAGAGCAGAAGGATGCAATGTGTTAGCAAAAGGAGGGTATACAGTCGCAAATGACTGGACTACTTACCGTAAACTGCAAGGTTGATACAGCCTTTCTCATCAATGACATCATGCCACGGCGTTCAGGAAGAGCTGCGGCCCGCGCTTAACCCCTCCCGCCGGCAAGCTTCGCACATTTTCCTGCCTTCCTACTACTAGCGCTTCCATTTTGTTCTGCCTGACGCGTAGAGCCCAGAGGCGATGTTACAAGGTACTTAGAGTGAGTATTGAGCGAGCTACATGAAGTCGCACAAGGTGCGCGACACGACTTGATGTGGCGCGAGCACGGCGTTGCGCGAATGGTCCAGCCTCGCAACGGTAGACTTGGCTAAACCCCACTGCTGACCCTCCTTACAAGTTTACAAGTTAAACTGTGCGCATCCAGGAATGTCGACGAGGGCTTCAATTTGGCTACGCCGGTCTGTCGACGGCTTCAAGACCATCGCTCCCGAGATTTTCGTATGTCCCTTGGACATGTCACGACTTCTCGGACACTAATCTGCTGCTGATGGTCACTTCTGGGCGGGGGCATGACATAGAGTGAGTCTATTCTCAAGTGGGCCGAATTGCAATAATCATTGTGCTTCAGATAGCTCCCAGTACCAAGTTCGCCGACGCAGCCTACTGTCGCTCAACGATGACATCCTAGGCATGGTTTTGTCGCACTTCGATTCGCGATTCGACGTGCTGCATCTATCAGTGACGTGTCGTGCAGCACAAACACTCTTCTTACCATATGTGCTGTCGGACGTGGTGATAGACCAGTGGGAACTCCCAGTTGTCCAGGGCGGCGATGAAGAGCAGCTGGCTGCATTCTGCGCCTTTATGCTCGCGGACGTTCCACATCGCATGCCCCTCCTCACATCTCTGAATCTTACAAAAGACGCTTTCAAATTCAGACCAAGCGGCTCGGAGTTCCATGAGGACAAACGCATCACGGACTATTCTGCTGCATCGCAGCTAGCCCTGGTCATCCGACTCAGCACTCACCTGCGGCAGCTCTCCATCTTCGACGCAGATGGGGTCTTCTCCGAGGTCCCCGAACTAGGAGATGCAGTTGCAGAGCTCGCGCGTCTCGATGACATACACTTTCCGATGACCTGCGATGCTACTATCGGGGTGTTCTCGCGCATGAAGAGCCGGCCCCGAAAAGTCGAATGTTATATCCTTCAATGGGATGCTGGTCTCAACAGAGGCGACGATCGGTTCTTGGGAAACTTTGCCACGTCGTTGACGACGCTCAGACTGCACCGCCATCCGGAAGTCATTCTGGCACTCGCACCGAATACGGTCTGGCCTGCTGTGGCGAACCTAGACCTGGAGAACCGCGAGCCGTTCTTCATGGACAATTGGGCCCACTTCGCTCGCGCCTTTCCCAATGTGCGCCGCCTCAAGGTGTTTGATCCCAGCTACGGCTGCGGCCCTTCTCCATCCGTCCCCGAGGCTGCGGAGCATTGGCGCAATCTCGACTTCGTCTCCATCTCTTCACCTCTCCCCGTCCGCCGACCCATCCGCCATCTCCACTACTCCGCACTGCCAAGCACAACTACGCATTCCTTGCCTGACCATCAGTACGCTGACGATACCCAAGAGTTCTTACGACAGTCTTCGCCCGTAGTCCTCAGCTGCCATGCCCAGGTAAAACTGGTTGAGTGGGTAGCCGCCGCCTCTGTGCCCTCACTCCGAGTTTTGCAACTGCAGTGCGTGCCCGCTGCGCGCGTGTCGTGCCCCGACCATATGCGGTGTGTCATAGTGCGTGCCCACCAGGTCCTACTGCATCGGGCACTGACCAGTGCCACCGATATCAGGACATGTTCTGCCCCTGCGTTACACCACTTCAACTCCGTGCCATCTCATTCGATCTGGCGTTCACCATACCGGTCGACGACGCGTCGTTGCTGCGGCATGCTGCCGCCGCCGCACGGTACGTCCCGACCCTTCACTACATCGGCATACAGCCGCTCGTCCAGGCCCTGCGTAACATCGACAAACAGCAGCATGGGAGACAACCGCAGTGGGACGTCTTCCGATACAAATGGGCCCGCGTCGTGTCGCGTCCGGAGCAGGGCAGGCCCGTCGTTGAGATGGTGCCGGAATACGCCGTGGACGCCCTCGAGCGTACGCTCTTGGCTACTCCGCGGGACTGAATGCCACCCCTCGTCACTCGCGATGGGACACGGTTCACGCCCTCGAGCTTCAAGAATCGACATTTAAGAGATACCCGCTCTCCATACCCGACCAGAGAAGCAAACCCTACCATCTTACCATTAGTACACTTCGAGGATCAAGCTGGAATCACCGTGCACCGCAACCACTCACTAGATACTGCATACAGGACCCTAATGACGCATACCGTCTACCACTCGTAATCCTGCAATGTAACTACCTTCTCCGTAATACCGTGCTCCTTCTCCCACCTGCTCTGCCACTCGGCGATCTTGTCCAGCAGAGCAGCCCACTGACTCTCCGTACGCACACCCCGCAGCCACCGAGCCTCCTCGCCCTGCTCCTGTATCCGCTTCCAGCCCCGGTTGATCAAGAAGTTCTGCTCACGGCCCATCCGCCTCCACGGCTCGACGTACGGCTTGCCGTCGTCCGGGACCGCGCCGTGCTTCTTGAGGTACGCGACGAGGTTGTCCTGGTACGTCTGCGCCTCGTTGTCGTTCTGCAGGCGGTGCCCGACGAAGTAGGGGTCGAAGCCCTTCTCGCGGAGCGCCTCCTCCCTGTCGAGGAGCTCCTGGAGCATCTGCTCGCGCGGCGGGAGGAGCGACGCGTTCGCGAGCGCGTGCGCGATGTACATGCCCTGCGCGTAGTCCGAGGGGCAGTTCGCGATGAGCACGGGCAGCCCGAGGAACGCGAGCGCGGTGGGCGGCACGGCGGGCGCGAGGCTGAAGACGTGCTGGTAGAGCGGGTAGATGTACCGCAGGTTCGTCGTGAGCTGTTGCGCGGTGGACGAGGTTTCTTGCGAGTCGCGGTCGGTGACTAGCGTGGATGCGTGCGGCGCGCTGAGGAAGGGCACGCGGAACTCGTACCCGGTCGCGAGGAAGACGGTGTCGACGCCCTCGACGACCGAGCCGTCCACGAAGACGATGGCGTCCGGCGTGAAGTACGCGATCTCCGGCTTCTCGATCACGTCGGCTCCGGGAGTGGTAGTCGCGTTCTCTTTAACGACCTGGTACGCCTATCGAGTTTTGTGAGCGCGCTGCTTCGAATCGTACGATGGCTGTCACTCACAGTTGTCAGGGTGCACACTTGGAGAGCGATGTCCCGCCCGCTTGCCCCCGTGCCGACGATGACCACCGTCTGGCCCCTGTGATACTCGGGGTCCCGGTAGTAGATGGAGTGCAAGAGCTGTCGCTTGGGCAGGCCAGGGCGTGGGTACGCGAGCCAGTCGTCGGTCCCGTTCCACTCCGGGATGTGCGGGTAGTGGTTGTGGCCGTTAGCGACGACGAGGTGGTCAAACGTGCGCTTCAGCACCACATCTTCAGTGTCTCCGTCTACCGGAGGAGAGTGCACTTCGACGTGCCAGTCACCGAAGTCGTCATGCCCGTGCCACTGGGCAGAGACGACAGTGTGATTGAGGCTAATATGCGGCCACAAGTCGAACTGGGTCGCGAAATCTGCATGATACTGGCGCACCGCGTCCCACCCCGGGTACAACTCGGTACCCGGTGGAAATGGGACATGGGGATAGGTCATGGTAGGATGTGGTGTATTTGTGTGCAGCAGGGGGTAGGTTGGCGACTCAGGAAGCTCCGGGAATTCAGTCTCAAGTCCTGGAGGGTCAGGAGCCATACCCCACCCAGACCTCTATGTTGTTCAAAGAGCACGACCTCCCAGTTCTCGTGAATGTCATTCGCGACGTCCAGGATCGTCTTGAGCGCGGCGAGCCCGCCGCTGCCGCCTCCTACGATAGCAATAGACTTCGTCGCCTCCGTCGGCGGGGCGAGAAACCCGTCGTGCCCATAGTGCTGCAGCGGCGCCTGCGGCTGAAGAGAGACCTGCTAGGCGACAGAGTGAAGTGGAGAGCGGAAGAGACGAGCTGCGCGACGAGGACGGGCACAGTGAACATGCGGTCAAGGCGGCAGCCGCACATCAGCTCCGGGCGTCCTGAAACATGTATTATAGAAGCAGACCCTCGGGATCTTCGTAACGCAAACCGTATGTATGGAGTCTGGACGTTGCCGCGGCCGGCCGCCTTGGGTGTGCGCTCTCCCAGCGGAAGCACGCCGACGAGAAGTGGTATGGCGAAATCC